AAGTTAACTCTTATTGCCGTTAGGCCTCACAGATTCTTATCGGTTTTGTTTGTCTTCCTCAGTTTGTTCGTTCGTGTTTATCTTTCTCCTCCTCTACTACTGCTTTTTTTCTTGTTTGTGGCTCAGTGGAAAGTTTGAATTCGATGTCAACGACTCGCGCCACTTAAATTTCATCTCAGAAGCACTTTCTACAATATTTCCACTGATGATTTTCTCTGTTAACATCTGCTGGTGCTGATGCAGATGATGAGGAAGAGGTGATAGGAGTATATTTATGCGACTTAGTTTGCTTGTTTTCGTGCATTTATGTTATTAGTTCTTAGTTATTTTAGTTCTTTAAGCTTCTTTTGTGTGTTTTCAGGTTCATAAGACGTATTTGGCAAAATGATGCATTTTGGAGCCTTTTGGAGCACTTTTGGGCACAAATTGGATAGCTTATGCTTGGAGCAAAAGGAATGGACGAAATTGAAGAGTTGATGTCGCAAGGATTCCTACTACAACAAGGATTCCTACTACGACAAGGATTCCTACTACGACGAGGATTCCAATTACGAGAAGGTTTCCAAATTGAAGGAGGTTTCCCACTCACATGAGGATTCCTAGTTGGACGAGGATTCCTAATCACATAAGGATTCCTACTTGAAGTAGGAAAGTTAAGCCAAAGTTTCCTATTTTGGTTGACCTTTCCTAAATCAAGAACGCTCTAAGTTTTAGCACTTAAGATGGCTCCCGAGCACCCTTGGACAACAAATAAAGGTTCTTTGCAAATTTTCCCTTCCTTGCCGTGCAAAGAAGGTGGTTTCCCTTTCATTGTGCAAACTTCCCTATTTTTCATATGTGTTAGTACCTTTCCCTTATTCTAACACCTCTTGTTTAATGCCTTACCTTTCCCTAAACCTTATGCCGCACCTCCCCTTATGTTTCCTGATTTCAAACTCTTATTTCCTAGTTTAATTCACTTTCCTAGTTCTAAAACTTTTCCTAAAGTCCTAATTTCTGATTTCTTGCAAGGAATTGACTTTTCCTTCCTTCTTTTGCACCAATTTCGTTTCTTACCTTAAATTCCCTTTCCTTGCTGTGCAAGGGGTTTAATTTCTGATTCCTTGCAAGGCAAGAACATTCCTTATTTGTTTAAATTCGTGCATCCCCTTTTTCTGAAATTATTTGGACTTTATTCACTTACCTTTTCTATTTAGACTAGGAAATCTGAATTCAAACTTAATTAGGTATGTTATTAACTTCCTAAAACACATATATTCAGCCCTTGGCCGAACCCTAGAGTATCATTCACACAGAAATTCGTCCATACTCTCCCACACACATCCATTCATCCCAAAAACACCAATCTGCACTCCAGAAACACAACCAGCTGCATCACCTTCTTCCATCCTCTTTGCCGAGTTCTCCACCACCTTCCAACCATCAAACACTCATCCACACCCAACCTACACCCCTTGCCGTGCCTCTACACCCCCCCAAAACCCATTCTACATCATCAAAACAGCCCAGAAACCATCACAACCCAATATGCCGCAAGCAAAGGAAAGGAGACAGATTCACTCAATTGTTTGGCTCTTCATTCTGAGTTGTTGAACAATTTTAGGTGTATTCTCTCTTATATTTCAATGTCTAATTCATGTAATCTTTGTTTTGCTTTGAGAATGATTGGCTAAATTCGTTTTGGCTAAGGGTGTATTCGAAACCATGATTATATATGTGAAATAAGTTGATTACTTCCAGTTATCGTTGTATAAGTCGTGAATACAATTTGCTTAACCGTTTGATTTAGAACTTATTCTTGTATGTTGATTGAGAGTGCACACTTAATTTGCATGCTTGAATTTGGTGCTAGGATATAAGTTTGTTTCACCTAATCGTTATGAATTTATATTCACAAGTAGTGAAGGTTGCTAGTCACGATCATGTTAAGTAGATTCCTAGCAAGAGTATCATGCTTTTCATAGTTACAAATGCCTTGTCGATGCTTATGATTTCCAAAGAACGTAATGATTCTAACTTGTATCTTTATCATGCTGTTCATATAGAGAACTTGTTAGGAATAATTTGTTTGCGATGCATATTCATCCAATTCAATGATTCTAGGGAAATCTGAAGGTTAATTTAAGCGGACCTAATTAACTTGGAGTGTCGAGGTTCATAACTTATTGAATTGATAACTGGAAATTGATTTACGTTGCATATATTTCATGTGTGGAGAAGAACCCCTTAGCTATTCCATCATCCATTGATTCATCACAATTTGTTTTACAATCTGTTTTCTTTACAATCTGTCCATTTAATTTAATTTCGTCCAAACACAATCCCCCCATATTTTGTTAAGTCTTAGTCATTACAATCTGTCTTATTTTGTGTTTTTAAGTATTTGGAGTGACAAACACCTTCAAATTTGTCCAAATCTGCCTAGTTTACATTCCTGTTTTGTTTGTTTGATTTTCGTCCAAAACCAAATCCCCAAGTGTCTTAGAGTGTCTAATTGGTTCAATTATGTTTTAGATTGTGTTTTTAAAGTTAGAACCAATTTTCGTCCAAGTTTGTGTTTAGGCTCAAAACTGCCCAGTTTGTGTTTTTAGCTTATTTTGAGTCTTGTGGACTCGTTTTGAGTTTTTGTTAAGTGAGTTAAGTGTTTTAAAGGTTAGTTTTATTTATTTGAGTCAGTTTAAAGTGTTTAGCACCCCTAGTTAATCCCCGGTTAGAACGATCCCTACTTACATCATTACTACAATTGTCACAAATAGGGTTTAATTTGTGTGTCACATTCGTAACGCATCAAGAGGGGCTTTCTGATTTTTATATATACCCCGATTTTGTATATATAAATTGGTACAAGTTATTAGGTTCTTCAAATATTGGCTGCTTTTCAATGTTTAGAACTGACCCAACTTAGTTCATTCCATTCCCATAATTGAAATAGCTACGGTGCTGTGCAGACATCAAACCTATTTCCCTTTGTCTTCAAAACACGCAGGAAACAAAAAAGCCTATAAATAAATGAAACACAACCAAGAACTGATATATATCAAAGAAAATTATATTCTTGCCTTCTTGGATTTCAAGATTTTCCAACCAGGAGTAATGTCCATTGAGCCACAAAGAAAGGAGAAAGAAAGACGTGAAGGACGAGCAAACTGACGGCAAAGAGAGTTAAACTTCTGTTGGGAAACTTATTTTCTTTCTAGACAAATCTAATTACAATTAATTTTATACGCGATGCGTCATGTCCTAGATTGTTGAATTATTATAATGGTAGAGATTAAACCAAATATGGTTACAATATTTAGGGATATTGTAAATATCTTTCAAAGTTTAATTTATCTTCCACTCTAACATCAGCCTATCTTCACTCTAACATCAGCCTCTATACTGCACATCAAACGATGGATGATCTTAAACCTAAACAGTTTGTTGTTGGCACTTTAAAAGAGTCATTCTACTTATCTAATTTAGAGAATTAAGCCGTGTAATAGTTTTATAACTATATTAGCACTTAGACTAAACAACTAGATTAACTATAGTGTTTATCACTCTAATAAAGTATGGGAAATGGTTAATACGATCACAAATAATCTTAATTTTGAACTGATTAAAAATAACGTTATATTAAAAAAAAAAAAACTAACTACTCAAGATGTAAGGATTAACAGATAAAAACATAATGATATCGATCACGATATGATGAAACGGACCATTTCAAAAATATGAAAAACATCATTTTGTTCCAAACAAAATTGACCCCTTTAGTTGTACAGGCCACTAGATCGAGATGCTAACATCTGTCTGACAAAAAAAAAAAAAAAAAACTGAGAAAAGATATTGGACATTGGCTGCTCAAATGGACGATTGATATCTCTTCAACGTGTTCAGTCTGAAATCAGAAATTTTATACGGCAGTTGGTGACACGAATGGAACAAATAAAAAGTACATTGCTAAATTATTCAAAGTAAGATTATAAAAGACGCTAGGTGCTAGTTAAGCGGCAGATTGGGGTCTAGTACGTCTATACGGTTAGGCGGGGCTTAGACAGGTGTCTAGGCAGACTAGGCGTATTTAAGTAAATATATTATATATCATATAATTAATAAGTGTCTGATTATACTTGAAAAATATATAATTTTAGTGGGATACATAAATTGCAAAATAGAATGACATAGATATTATAAAATATTAGAATATAATAAAAACATAGGGAACACGCATATCATGTGTGTTCATCTAAGTATTCAATAAGTCTCTTACAATTTATTGAAGAAAAAAAAGTGACAAATGAAAGTTACATATTTTCTGTCTAAACCTAAGCAGGTGTCTAGGTGGGTCTAGGCAGGTTAGGTGGGCGCCTAGGCATGTCTAGGCACCATTTCTTAATTTTCAAATGGCTTGGGATTAATCCGAATGATGGTTAAACGCTCGTTTAGATGACACTAGACGAAAAAATTTAGAACAGTGGTTCAAAGGGATCCAGTGAGTAAATTTTTCAAGTGCATTTTCACCAACATAGGAGAGACTCAGACCATGCATTTAACATTTAGCGTTTAACATACATGACAGATAATATAGGTCTCTTTTCCCTGTGTTGTCGGTGCAATCTCACAGATGCAAAATAGGACCAATTGCCAATTTGATACCGCCTCTAGCCTCCCACCCCCTCACCATCACCGTCGTGCCAACGACCTCTCTAAATTGTGGAACACATGCAAAAGTTCTGATTTTGTGAGAAAATCTGTAAACTTTCAGAACAAGTTCGATTACTAATCAATGACAAGATGTGCCATTTCTTTAAAAAAAAAAAAAAAATCTCATCGAAACTGCAACGTGATCAACTTTATGTAAATAGTCCGGAAGTCATGCGGAAAATCAAATATATAATATCTTTATATATGTATAGTCTCAAGACTCCACATGTAGCATGCCAAGTAACGTCGTTTCAATGTACATGATGAAAATACGAAATCATCAAGTGTTACTTTCCCATTAATACAGAAGGATGAAGAGCCAAAGCCAGGCTGTGTTGAAATTTGAAAGCTATGGAGTGTGGAGCAATGGTGAATTTTAGCCACAATTCATATGTCAGAGACGACGTATATATCCTTCAACGTTTTATATAATATATTTCAGCATTATTCTTCTCTTCTTCCCTTCTTGCTTTTTTGTTTAAGATTTTTTGGACACGAACATTTATTTCAGTGTATAATAATAATGCGACCTCATCCTCCCAGTACACATGGGTCTTTAATCGCCTCGACTGCAACCAAACGTGAGTATTAAATGAGCCCCTGTCGCATTTTTGCAGCATATATGTGGTTTGCATCGACTGATCGTATAAACTGGAAAAATGAAAATAGTTTCACTCAATTATACAACACTTCACCACTGCAGGGTCTATCGCTTTGTACTGCTCTTTGTGCTTTCAAACTTTACACCAATTCAACGTAATAAATGAACCATGTTAGTTGTGATCAACCTTTATTTTCGAACACTGTTAGCATCAGTCATTTAAGCATCTAGGCCGTTGAGGCTTGTGTGGATATCACAACGCGTTAACGGCTCATAGTTAGCTATGAGTGTATATATGGGCAACGTATGCTAGCTAGGTTCTATGTTATTGGTGCATGTGAGGCACCAACGTGTCGTAGCCATACACTGCATGCAACTGATGCTAGCATAAATTATCTTTCAATCTTAGCTCTACACTAAAATGTATGTCGTACGCTCTCAAGCATACATATAGGTCTCTTTTGGTGTCTAGTATTGAATGAATATTGCATAATTCAATAGATTTATTGTACGTTGAATGACCAAGTTTTGTCCAAATTGAAATCAACTTCTAATTTTGAGCGGGGCTAGTCGTCCATACATTCTAGATCGTTGAGGCATGTGAGTTTCACAAGACATCAATGGTGCATAGTCAGCTGCACGTGTTTATGAACGTCATGTGCTAACTTTCGTATTGTTGATGCATGTGAGATTTCAACACTCTACTGTCATAAACTTACATGTAGACGACTAATGCTAGCATATATAACCATTATGTGTGAGACTTATCTTTACCCTAAAAATGTATGTCAGAATGCCCTCAATCCGACACGTAGTGTAGACTTGAAATATCATCTTCCTTGCACCAAATTGAGTGGGAACTTTGATAAAGATGAGGGGTCCATAGTGTAAGGTACAGAGAAAAGTCACTGCACTAGTTGAATATAAAGTGGGTTGCAGTTGAAAATAAATATGTTACAAGAATGGAGTGAAACCAATTATTATTCTACTCATAAGAGCATTGAGATCATCCACATGCCTCATGCATACATACTAGAATACATCTTGTAAATGCAGCAAATAACTTCTCCAGGAAAAGTCACAGTTTTTTGTGGCCATCAAATTTTTGGGTTTTAAAGTTTGGTAAGTGATAGGGTCCAGCATCTTTAACTGAGTTCCCAATCAAGAAGATGACATATGTCAAACTTCAAGGGCTTACTCAGCTCACTACTTAATGTCATATACATTGTTTGGAGATGTTATTCAGCTTCTTAGTCGGACCTTCTTGGCTCTTTTTCTCATCTTGCAATATTTTCTGATGATTTCAAAAATGTACTTTCTAGGTTGTCCTTTAAGAAATGACTCTACTAAAAATCAATCAAATTAGAAATCATTTAACTATTCAATTAATGTTGTCAAATTTCAGCGTCTAAATAAAATCCACAATTGATCTGTTTATTGGATACACGTTAGATGACTAAAAAAATTTCATATTTTGGTTTTTTTTTTACCATCTTTAAACTTGGTTTATTTTTAGCATCCGAATTTACAAGGTGACCTAGAAAATGATAGTTGTGATCATGGTACAACATTGTAGGATATGAGAATGAGAGCCAAGAAAGTAGAACGTGAGTGATGAAGATGATTCTATGTATACTAGTCCAAAGGATATGGACCATTTTCTAAATACTCTTCTTCTGTCGAGACTCATGGGTAATAATATGGGAGGCAAAAAGTTTCAGGAATGCGGCGATGAAGTAATGAAGTGATGAAACAATGCTGGGGTTTAGGATACTAGCCCAAAGGGCTGCCCATGTAAGAGCCCAAACTTTTCTCAGACCCTTTGAAACAAACTTCCCAGCCACTGCCAGTGTTGCATTCCTTGCAAAATTATTACTAACAAAGAAGAGAGAACTTACAAAGCTAGAGTGGGAGAGAAGATATTGACAAGTTTAAGATAAAAGCAATTCCATTTCTTATTCATCACTAACATTTGAGTTGAACACTGCAAGCTGAAGGTAATAGCTTAATTCTAAATACACAGGGCAATAATTGACGGTGCAGCTATCCACATCTCAAGCACCCTTCTTGTCAACAATCTGGTTTCTTCACAACGAGAATGAGGTGCTCAGATTCCTGAATTCAGCACCTTACAGTGTTCGAAGAAACCTGGGTTGACAAACCAATATTAATCAATGCCCAAAAAACAAGTTCGGATGCATGCACTGCAGAAATTCCTTATAAACAAAAGCTTCTTGGGAACAAAACTATAGGTAAGAGTTGAAAACTCAGTTTTGTTGAGTGACTTATATTAACTTTCCGGCAAAAGGATTCATTGTTTTCGGTCAAAATACAACAAAGAAAAAATGGGGGGACTATGATTTTCCTTTTTTCCTTCATTTTTAAGCTATTCTTGAGTGTATCCAGTAATTTTCCACTTCAAGTGAAGAGGCTAACTAAGCACAAATATTACTTAAGCATGTGAGGGCATTACTGGCAGCAGAAACATTGAAAGTTTAAGCAGCAAACCGGATCCCAAATATTTATCGTTGCTCATTCAAATAAAGCAACAGATAATTTGACGTTCATGGAGCCTAGGTAATAGAGCAACAATCAAACATAACGCAAGTTAGCATGGTTGAGGTCCTTGAGGAATTACAGCAGAGTACCAACTACTCAGTACTCGGGCACATCGCGAGTGGCAACCATATCAAAATATGACCATTCTGTGTTCTTGTGATTACTTAACGAACTTCATAAATAAAAATTAACCATGTGTGGGCATTTATGGTAGCAGAAACACTACAAGCTTAAGCTGCAAAGCGAATTCCAACGTCTAATTCCAACGTCTATTTTTGCACATTGAGACAAGGCAACTAACAATTTGATGATCACAGAGCCTTGCTCTAGTGCAATGTCAAACCTAATGCTGGTTCACAAGACTGACGAACTACAAACCGCTTACTTAGCAGAACACTCGAAATTTAAGCTGCAAAGCGGCTCCCAACATCGATTTTGCACATTGAAATTAGTCACCCAATAATTCCATATGGTCGTGGAGCCTAGGTAATAGTGCAACAATCAAACCTAGCTATACCAATTTACCATTGAGTTAAATTGGATTGGAGAAACATTCAACAACAACCAAGTTTTATCCACTAAATGCAGTCGGCTATATGAATTATAAAATGTTACCACGCTAGGTTTTACATCAAGTCTTTCATTAACGTACTCCATATTTTTGTTTATGTCTCTTCAAAACTACAGCAGTATTCATTTGAATGACATTTAAACAAATCTTGAATAGGGTTAGAAATGCAAAAAAATTGGAATGTTTGCTTTAAAATAAAATTTTGGGGACATAAATATATCAAAATCAAACAATTATTCTGCAAATTCAACAAAGATTGTAAATTTATAGACTGATAAAACGATACCTTTGGAATTTGAATTTGGGTAAGTAGTCCAAAACCCTAAATTTGAGGCGCCAAGAAGGCAAAGGACTGAGAGGACCGTTGGGTTATATATACAGGGGAAGGTGGTATTTGTTGCTTTACCCACTGAATTTGTATGCGGTTGCCAATTTTCTTCCTAAAATTAAATTTTAGCTGATTACCGACTTGAACTTTTTTTCATTAGCCACTTTCTCGTTGAACTTTAATTTTAGCCGATTACCTCCTAACTTCTATAAATAGCCAATTCCTTGTGGTGTTGGATTTTAAAACTTTCATTCAGATTTTCATCCATCCAATTTGTCATCCTTTTTGCCCTTAACAGTTGTCATGTGTTGTTTCCATGACCAAAATGAATGAAAAATTGGATGAACAACGCCAGGGGGAATTAGTTATTTATAAAAGTTCAGAGGGCAATTTGCTAAAATTATAGTTTAAGGGGAAATTGGCTAATTATAATATTTCAAGGGGGTAATCGACTAAAATTAAAGTTCAAAGAGAAAATTGGCAGCTCCATACAAGTTCAAGGAGCAAATCGACAAATATGTCTTTCTGAAATTAGGGCATTGGCAGGGGAAGCCGCTTTATCAAACGGTTGGAGGGAGAAACCACGTAATCCTATGGTCAGTATTTAATTTCGTCATAGGGATAACAGTTAACGGTGGACTCATCTCTGTTTCTGGATTTTACAGTTCATGCAAATTCAATAAGGGTTGGGCCTTTTATTAAGTGAGTAACTTATAATTTTGGGCTAGGAAGCGGGCTTCAATTTAAATTTAGAATGTGGCCCATTTTGACTTGGGAAAATAAATTCATGTCAGGGCTGTGCCCTCTCTCTCGAGTTTTTTTCCTACATCTCTCTTTATGTGACTTTACATCCATTTGTTCACGTGATTTAGGAGGAAATAACTTCTACGTCGCGAGTGCAATGCACTCTTGAGTTTTCTCAGTCTTTATCTTTGGTCACCGGAAAATATCATTCTCCTCACCTGACCAATTATTTCAGTAGTTCATCAATTTAAGAGTCTTAGCTCAAGCAACATGATATCTGAGGGTTAAGAAGGGTGATTTTCTTTGTACTATATGCACTGAGTGTCATCGCACAATGACCTTTGTATATTACCGATTCAACGTCTTAAAATTGGTGATTCATGATCATTAGATGTGGTTCGGTAACTTAAAAAGAGAAATACTAAGGAGACTCTCTAAAAAAATGTGACTTTTTATGGGCTTTTTGCGACCTCATGTTCTGCACATGTTTTTCCGCCCATCATCTTCCTCCCCTCTCCCTCTTTTACTCCTTTTTTTCTTTGTCCCACTGTCACCCTCCCCACTTCCTCTTTTTCTCCCTTTTCACTTTGCTCTGTTCTTCTCTTCTTCAAAGTATGAAACTTTGAATTTGTTTTGAAATTTTTGAAAGGCTTTATAGCCAAAATGGTCCATGAGATTTGTATAACATATCACTTTGATCATAACTCAATATAAATGGTTCCTGAGATTGTCCACCATCCATTATTTTGGTCATTCCGTTAAAAACTCCGTTAAGCGTCCCGGAGCTCTTGGCTAGAAGTTTGGGCAATTTTCAAAGTTTCGTAACTCAATCGTTTCTTAATCAAATTCGACCCATAATATATCAAAATGAAGATAGGAAAATGTAGAACAAGATTATACCTATTTGGAAGTCCAATGGTTGCCAGAGATGGTCGAAAATAGCCTAAAAGGTGACTGATCCGGGGGAAAACTGGAAAACTCGCCGGAAACTGGGTAAACTTTAAACGTTCATAAATTCTTCAATACTCAACGAAATCGAGTGATTAAAAAACGAAAATCATACTTCTCAATTTTGTCTCATCAAGAAGTATGATTTTCGTTTTTGAATCACTCGATTTCGTTAAGTATTGAAGAAGTTATGAACGTTTAAAGTTTACCCAATTTCCGATGAGTTTTCCAGTTTTTATGCAGACCAATCACCTTTCAGGCTATTTTCTAGCCATCTCCAACAACCATTGGGCTTCCAAATGGGATATAATCTTGTTCTACACTTTACTATCTTTATTGTGATATATTATGGGTCGAATTTGGTTAAGAAACGATTGAGTTACGAAGCTTTGAAAATTGCCCAAACTTCCAGCTAAGAGCTCCAGGACACTTAACGGAGTTTTTAACAGAAGAACCAAAATAATGGATGGTGGACAATCTCAGGATCATTTCCGTTGATTTTCAATCTCAGGGACCAAAGTAATGTGTTATGCAAATCTCAGAGACCATTTTGGCTAAAAAGTCAATTATAATTTATCCTTTACGGGTAATGCTAGGAGACCAAATTTGAAGACAAAATTTGCAAACTAAATGATATGTCACCAATAAAAATAAACACATTTACCAACGCTCAAGTAATAAACCAATCATCAGCTTCTATGTTCTTTAGTTTCTAAAATTTAATTTACAAATTTAATCTTCTTGCCATTTCCTTTACCCCATTATATAATACACTGCAAAAGTTTGAAACTTCAAAGAGAAAATAAACTTGTGTTTTACTTCGGTGCAGGTGTCTCTTTTCTTCAGAGTCTCCTACTAATCCATTCCTCAGGTGCATTGACATTAAGTTGGTTTCAGAGCTCTTTCACAAAAAAGGGGCGTTGGTCTGTATAGATGGCACTTTTGCCACACTTACTCAGGTTATCAATTACTGTAAAGACCAAGCAAGTACCAGTATCTTATTTCAGGTCCCTGCTGGTTGCATTAGCGGTTCCATGAAATTGATTTCAGAAATTCGTACTTTGCATCATATTTTGGGTGGTGCGCTCAACCCGGTGAGTCATGTTTGTGGGTTATATGTGTTTCTCGTCTCTTATTATTCTCAATTGTCACGTTGATTGGTGATGTTAATTTCTACTTCCATTAAGAATGTAGGGTACTTAAACAAATGATTCCATGCCCCACTTAATGCTTTAATGATTGAAGAATGGAATGAATTGTAAGCTTACATGATAATAATATTTGTTTTTTGTTCATCAACAGAATGCTGCGTACCTGATCATTCGAGGCATGAAGACCTTGCATCTTCTTGTGCAACAACAGACTTCAACAGCATTGAGGATGGCCAAAATTTTAGAGGCACATCCTAAGGTATATATTTTGTAAACTTAAGTAACATTAAGCTTATGCTGGGATTCACCACATTGTATTTGAAAACTGATGTTATTGAAAATGTTTATCGGCAGGTGGCACACGCCTACTATCCTGGTTTGCCTAGCCATCCTGAACATCAGCTTGCCAAGAGGCAGATGACTGGTTTCGGTGGTGTTGTCAATATTGAGGTGAACATTCTCGACGCTGTCCCTTTCTGGTATGCTGTTATTATATTCATTTGGTTAATAATGTTCCTTGATTATGCAGATTGATGGAGACTTGATGAGAACCATTAAATTCGTGGATGCACTGAAAATCCCATATATTGCTCCATCCTTTGGTGGCTGTGAGAGCATTGTGGATCAGCCAGCCATGATATCTTACTGGTATCCCTTAACTCTTTTATCTTATGGTGGCTTCATAAATTTGAAGTTGTCATGCTATGTGGTTGAGTCTGATAAATTGGGTAGATCTGTGATCTTGACATATCACCATATCGAGTCACACCAGATACTACGTGAAGGTGCCTACGTTCAGGGTTTTAGTTGGAGATGAATTTCGTAACCAAATAGCAGGTGCTTTGGCAATCCTAAACATGGTAGTAAAAGAAAAATTGGTACTATAGAAACATGGTGTGCCCTGGATAGATGTCTACATGTCGTATTCGAGAGCAACATTTAAAGCTTGTTATGCGAAGCTTAACCAATTAACCTAGCCGAAATTGTTCAAGTTGAAGTTTACAGTAATGGATTTTTCGTTGATGCAACCGCTTGGTCGTTTATACATTGATTTCGCTTGATTAATTTAGGCGGGCTGTAGATACAGTAAAAAGCCAATGATTTCTTCTGATTGCTGTGCTTTGATGCTCTTGAAACAGGGATCTCAGCCAGTCAGATAGGATCAAGTACGGGATGAAGGATAACTTGGTCCGTTTCAGCTTCGGAGTCGAAGACTTTGAAGATCTCAACGATGATTTACTGCAGGCCCTGGAGACCATATAGATTGTGGTCTACCTCATATGCGGTTTTCTGTTTTATTTCCCATGTCCATTGTTGCATTGGTGCTTCAATTGACTTTGATCACCAAATGCTCTGTTCAATTTTTTGTACTTGTCGTGTGCACGTTGGTCTGAAGTTCCTCATTTCGGATATGAGGAGATTTTTATTTAGCATTCGGGCTCGTGTGGAAGTCCTTTTAAAATGACTAAAAACGATTTTGATGAAAATATTTTTAAAAAGCCCTACAAAACACATAGAAGTGGCTCCTACTATTGCACTCCACCACCTTTTCTCATTTGCTACCCAATTTGTTTACGGTGTAAACTGTTAAAGTTTGAACAAATAACGTCTAGGATTTGATAACATCTTTCTATATTTAGGGTCTATGTGCCGGGTGAGTCACACCATTGATGCACTGGAATTGGTATATGCACCAATGACTAAAAATCACACGCGTGCATTTGGACGATGTACCACTAGCATATTCAGTAACTTTTTCTTCTTGATCAATAGTAAAATCAATGACTAAGAGCTACACACAAACAGTTAAACGATTATGCCATTAATAAAATTAATGATCGAAAATCATACATGCGTATTTAAACGATTACGCCGCCATCATAGTATATAGAATAAAGAAGAAAATCAAATGGGACCATGAGCCATAGCTTCCGGGGGTCCAATTAAGATACGTTGCCATTTTTCTACTTCTAAAACTTTATTTCCCATGAAAAACGATATTAAAGTGAAAAACTAGGTAGCAGAATGCATTGAATCTTTTGAGTGGAAGCAGTCATTTTTGACAATTTTCAACCCACGATGATTTCCTCGTTAGCTTTTACTTACAATACGGCAAATTCTTTGTGTGACATATTTACACCTACTATCCACTATTATTTTCACTCATCTACAAAGAGAATCCAAAAGTAACAAACCCCCAAATAATAGTAGTAAGGTGACCTAACTTTGTATTTCTAGGTTAATTTTGATGCCCTGATTTCATTTTTGTCGACTATTGGATTGTCATGAAATTTTATAATGTTGTTGTGTAAGTAGTATGATGCCCTCAGAAATTTACTGATCAGAAACCCGATGTATGAATTTTCTATATTGGAATACTTAGAGTTGATGATCTTAGTGAGAATCATACTATATTAGTCATTAGGTTGTGAACATTCTTATAGTCACAAGTTAAAAAGCTACAATATCATGTGCAAATAACGTAATTCAAGTGATTAAGAATGTTCACCGATAATATCCAAGGTTACCAAAAAAAAAAAAAAAAAAAAAAAAAAAAAAAGAGGTAACAATATAGTCTGTAAATTTGGAATTTTGCCACTCAAAAAGTTGGTAGAAATACATGTTGCTAGTCAGATTCCACGTCTTGGACCAAAAGAAAAGTCAGATTCCACGTCGGCATCAAGCCAACTGGACCAAGTTTGTAAATAAGGAAAAAGATCCTCCCGGATCCTATTTTGGGAATCCTTATGATTCTGTGATCGTGATTATTTATTGTATATCGTTTGATTAAAAATTATTTTAAAATTTAAATTTTAAAATTAAATATAAATAGTACAAACGATGAACAATCACAATCACAAAATCGTATCTAGGAAAATCCTTTTCCGGTAAATAAAACCAAAAAATTTTAGTAAAAAAAAAAATAAAAAACTTCAGTAAAAAAAAAAAAACTAAAAAATAAAGTCATAAAATTACAGTAAAAGAAAAGGCGCGTATTAAAGCGGCAACGCATTCGCTCTCAATCTCGTCCATTACTTCCCAACCTCGTTTCGTGACGAACCCAAAATCCCAAAAACTCGAACCCCATCACTCACCCATGGCTGTCTGCTCGTATCCTCCTAGGGTTTTCACTTCCTCCCAGCCCGGCACCCGCCCCCGATTATCGGGCCGGGTCGACCCGACGGTGCCGGTTCACGGCCTCTTCTCTCTCATCCTCAGGTTTCCCCCGAACTTCGTCCGCCAGCTCAGCACCAAGGCCCGCAGGAACTGTAGCAACATCGGCGTCGCGCAGATCGTCGCCGCCTCTTGGTCGAACAACAACCACAACTCTGGCGTGTCGGTGGTGCCGTCGGCTACTGCCGTCGATGCCGCCGCCACCGCTGCATCTCCGTCGATCCGGCCCAGATTTCGGGCGGTGACGAGGTGGCGGTGTTTGAAAATGGTGTACAGTTGGGGGAGGCCTTTCCTTTGAAGGAGGCCTCGTTCTTGAGCTCCGATGGGAGCCTCGCAATTCATGCTGGTAATTTAACTATACTTTGTGGGGTTTTTTTAATTATGATTTGCTTAGATTATTGTCTTAATGTTACAATTAAAAAGCTCAGTTCTTGATAATTATCGGTGAGAGTAAAAATTTGGGTTTTTTATGTTTTGTTTTTGTGAAGGTGAAAGATTGGGACGCGGCATAGTAACTGATGCAATTACAACCCCAGTGGTTAATACTTCTGCCTACTTCTTTAAGAAAACGGCTGACCTCATTGATTTCAAGGTATGCAATCACGCATTCCATATACTTATTATATTATTAGATTTTCTTACGATTTTCTGCATAATTGGGTGTAACTTTTTTGTAATATGCTGCAAAAGTTTGAAACTTTAAGATAAAAGACGATAAAATTGTGTTTTATGTATTGGGTTGCTGGTGATTGATGTGTTCTTGGATAGTTTTGGCTTATTGTCCTTTTAACTTGTTGCAGGAGAAACGCGCAACAAGTTTTGAATACGGGCGGTATGGAAATCCAACCACAGTAGTGGTTGAGGAGAAGATCAGGTTTGCATGTCTTTCATTCTCTTTTGTATTTTAAGCCTGCCTTTTGTGCTTCGAATCTATGTGTTGAATGTTTATTGAGGCCATGTTGTGGTGAACTGGTGATGGTTAGTGCGCTTGAGGGAGCGGAATCAACAATGATATTGGCATCTGGAATGTGTGCTAGCACTGTCTTGTTAATGGCATTGGTTCCAGCTGGTGGGCATATCGTGACCACCACGGATTGCTATAGGAAGACTAGGATTTTCATTGAGACCATTCTTCCAAAAATGGGGATCACGGTAAAATTGTTCTGTTCTCATTTTGTGCAATGATTACTTGTTCTGAATCTAGAGTAACAGAATACAGGTGTTACTTTTCAAATCGCCTGTGATCCTTTGTTAGTGTTTATACTTATAGGTTACCACTCTCTATGCAGGCCACAATCATTGACCCTGCTGATGTAGGAGCCCTGGAAACTGCATTGGATGAGCACAAAGTCAGTGAGAAAGTATTTAGCTTGGTTTTTTGAAATTCTCTATAACTTAGCAAATAATGGTGACCCTGATTGTTTGTGGAATTTACTTCGGGACAGGTGTCTCTTTTCTTCACAGAGTCTCCTACTAATCCATTCCTCAGGTGTGTTGACATTAAGTTGGTTTCTGATCTCTGTCACAAAAAAGGGGCGTTGGTCTGTATAGATGGCACTTTCGCCACACCTCTCAACCAGAAAGCCCTTGCCCTTGGGGCAGATCTTGTTGTGCATTCTGCAACTAAATTTATCGGTGGCCACAATGATGTAAGTCAGCACGTGTCGAACCTAATCATTTGAAGGAGTGAATACTCAGTGTATCAATTATTGTAAAGACTAAGCAAGTAGCAATATCTTATTTCAGGTCCTTGCTGGTTGCATTAGCGGTTCCATGAAATTGATTTCAGAAATTCGTACTTTGCATCATGTTTTGGGTGGTGCTCTCAACCCGGTGAGTCATGTTTGTTGGTTATATATGTTTCTCGTCTCTTATTATTCTCAGTTGTCACGTTGATTGGTGGTGTTAATTTCTACTTCCATCAAGAATGTAGGGTACTTCAACAAATGATTCCATACCCCACTTAATGCTTTAATGGTTGAAAAATGGAATGAATTGTAATCTTAAATGATAATAATAATTGTTTTTTTTTTTCATCAACAGAATGCTGCATACCTGATCATTCGAGGCATGAAGACCTTGCATCTTCGTGTACAACAACAGAATTCAACAGCATTGAGGATGGCCAAAATTTTAGAGGCACATCCTAAGGTATATAGTTTATAAACTTAAGTAGCATTAACTAATGGGAGGCTAACTAAATAGGTTACCAGTGTGTGATTACTGTTGGAAAGATTATAGTACAAAAGTTTTGGTTGGGATTCACCTTTTTGTATTTGAAAACAGATTTTATTGAAAATGTTTATTGGCAGGTGGCACACGTATATTATCCTGGTTTGCCTAGTCATCCTGAACATCAGCTTGCCAAGAGGCAGATGACTGGTTTCGGTGGTGTTGTCAGTTTTGAGGTGAACATTCTCGGCGCTATCCCTTTTTGGTATGTTGTTATTATATTCATTTGGTTAATAATGTTCCTTGATTATGCAGATTGATGGAGACTTGATGAGAACCATTAAATTTGTGGATGCACTGAAAATCCCATATATTGCCCCATCCTTTGGTGGCTGTGAGAGCATTGTGGATCAGCCAGCCATAATGTCTTACTGGTATTCCTTCTAATTCATCTTATGGTGGCTTAATAAATTTGAAGTTGTTATGCTATGTGGTTGAGTCTGATAAATTGGGTAGATCTGTGATTTTGATATATCACCATATCGATTCACTCCAGATAGCGTGTGAAGATGCCTAGTTTCAGGGTTTTAGTCAGAAGTTAATTTTGTAACCAAATAGCAGGTGCTTTGGCATTCCAAGACATGGAAGTGCATTAATTGGTTAAAAATATGTTTCTCGTATTACCAAAAATAAATTTTACTTTGGAAACATGGACCCTGGATAGATGTTTACATGTCGTATACATATAGCAACATTTATAGCTTGTTATGCGAAGCTTAACCAATTAACTTAGCCGAAATTATTTGAGTTGAAGTTTACAGTAATGGAATTTTCGTTGATGCAACTGCTTGGTCATTTATACATTGATATTGCTTGATTAATTTAGGTGGGCTGTAGATACAGTAAGTCAGATAGGA